AGCAAAGTTAGTCGGATGTCCAGATGACACGTCCGCTAATATAATGAAATGTTTAAGAACAAAACCGGCCGAAGAATTGGGAAAATCATTGCCAGGGTTTAAGGTCAGTATCATTTATTTAAGGATTTTTTTGTAATGTAGATTGCGAATCAAGTAGGCCAAACTAGGCATATATTTAAACTAATACATAGTTGTATCTAAGCCTGTGATTGAAACAAACTGGTGTTCAAATGGTTTATTTCACTTACTATTGTTTCTTGTTCTGCTTTCCACGAATAAATTTAATAACCCAGTGCTACTATGACAAAAGTCTCTAAATCTTTGACTTTCTTGCTGAGTTGGTAAAAATGTATTAATAAATACATCAAACAAGGAAATTTGATAGTGACTCAACATGGGCTTTAGTTTAAATAAAATCTTAAGGTCAGTTTCGAATTATGAAACAAAACGAGACTTTTGATTTTCGCTTTCGAATTATTTGATTATTAGGAAATTTTACCTTTAGAAATATAGCCATATCTACCATGAGACGTCAATACATTTGTTCCGAAAAACAGCATCACTAATCAATTGAAAGATAGTATCCTTTAGTTAAATTGATTTCTTCAAATGTTGTCTCAGATTTCAATCTACCGATTACTATAGTAAACCCACTGAGTGATCGAAATTCAACCAAAAGAGACATCAAATGATGTCTAGTAAATCGATCTGGGTGACTTTTAAAAGATTTCTGTTAACTTCTGGTGAACTCTCAGTTGAGTGACCTTGACACGAACATGCTTCAAAATTCGGACACAAAAGTAGACATTACTATTTGAGAAGTGACCTTAAAAAGACCTTTTGGTACAAAATGTTTGTTTTTTTAATCCTTCTCTAGCAAGAAAGGTAAGAGAGTGAGGGACTTTTGGCAGATAAAATATTAATCTAATCTTTTGGACAATCCACAAACTCGTACCTATGTAGTTCGGAACTGATTCATATTTTCTTCCATATACGTATCAGGAATTTGGTAAAGACCCAATAATAGTATGGGAACCTGTTATCGAATTAGACTTCGGCCAAGAAAGATTCTTGACGGACAACCCTGTGAAACTAATGATTTCAGGAACGTTTGAAAAGGTTCCAGTAATGACTGGTCTAACGTCTGAAGAATTTGATTATCGTGCATTTAGTGGGTAACAAGCACGTTATGCCTTTTATAATATTTTTAACAAATGTATTTTAGCCGTGGTCAGGAATTCAACTTTGTACGATCAATTGAATAAGGAATTCGAAACCTACGCTCCGATCGCGTTCGTGTATGAGAGAAAAACAGAAAAATCCAAAGAAATAAGTAACAAAATAAGGAAATTTTACTTTGAAGATAAACCTATCAATAATTCGTCCCTTCCCAGTTTAGCTCAAGTGAGTAATATTTTTATTAATCATCCATTACCTTAAAGGGTGGTACGAAAATAACCCTGGGAAGGTGATTACATATTTCAAATTTTATTTAAAAGGCTAAATTTGGAATTATATTTTCAGCTGTATTCCGACAGTTTGTCAGGATTTGGTATAAATCGAGCTGCGAAACTGTTATCTGACAAAAATCCTAACCAGGTTTATTACTATCGATTCAACTACAAAGGACGTTACAGCCATTTCTACTTGCCTGACACCAACAACACCGTACCATATGGTATGTTATTTATAAAGACATAATAATTAAAACGCATAAGGAAATCATTTCCATTGTCCTCCAAGTTTAACTTTACTTTACTATTGACAATATTCGTGATTATTTTTTAACTTTACCTATCCTGAAATATAAAATTAACTTAAATTTAGAGTGTTCTTTTCAGTAGAAGAAACCCCTTTACATTATAACATGTTTTTCAGACTTAACAATCCTCAGAAGTAAATATACAAAACATAATTGCTGAATGCTGCGGAAAAGTAACTAATTATCAACTGAACCATTTACTCATAATAAGTTTTATTGTGTCCTGTGTCCTTTGGCATGCACCTTTTTTTATTATACATTATACGGTTTTGAACACTCAGTATATTTTACATCGTTGTAGAAGAATATTCCATCAACTCTAGCTTCATGTAATAATTTTTAATGCAACTCTCTTCTGTTTATTTCAGGCGCAGTGCATAGCGACGACTTGATTTACTTGTTCTATAGGTCAACAAAGTTTCCATTGTTTCAAGAAGCTGATCCTGAATCTATTATGGTGGATAAAATGACGAAGTTGTGGACCAATTTCGCTAAAACAGGGTAATAACATTCACAAAATTTTCAATTTTGCTAACTGAGTAATTATTAGCTTGGTTAAACATTTTCCAATGATTACTCAAGAATTTTAAAAATCCCAAAAATACTTTTATTAAGAAAGCATGAGGTATCAGAAAGAGTAGGAGAACAGAGGGCGTTGTGGAAATAAATTAAAAATAGGCGACAGACAGATGAAACATATTGAAATCAAAATGAGGAGTTAAGGGGTATAGGGATGACCCTAGACCGGACTATTGTTCGCAAATAATTAAAGGTTTAGATTGCTAGGAGCAAGTGCGTGTCCAACCAGTTTCTGGGTTGAAGGCCTTATCATGGATGAGGATAATGTGAGCTGTAAGGTCACTACAAAGTTGTGCTCAGTGATATACTTCGTAATAAGGCATTGCTAGTGGTCAAGCTTTATACATTTTGTGTTTGACGACCGATAATACCGATATCGCAGCTTTTTCTCTGCTTTAGTGGTTATTTTGCTTTCTAGATTGATTAGCTTCGGGTTAAGTTATTGCTCCGATATCTAGTCCATTTGACCTCATTTATAGCTACGCATATGACTAGGTGGTTCTAAACTTTTCTGCTTCCATCTGATACTATCTTCTAAGTAATAGTATATTAGTAGAATGAAGATTCGGGTTGGATTCCCAGTCGCTGCCGAGACTTCGAGATATAATCTACGTTCACGTTGTCAACGCAGCGCTACCACTGAGGATGTCAGCCGCAGTAGCTGACAAAACGTCTGGACAGAATGGTTCACTTAGATCACGGCCCTATAGCCCGAATCTTCATTCTACTATGGATTCCGGCCGTGAAAGCCTTTGTTCTTATAATAGTATATTTTTTTGTCTTCAGGAAACCCATTCCTGAACCTTCAGAAAAGCTGGATAATATTAGCTGGGAGCCTTTCAGCAGAGCCAACAACAAATATATGGACATTGGCAACAAACTATCAATGAANATAGGTAGTCCTAGATTAGATTATTATATTTATATGAAAACTGTCTTAGACATCCCGAACTCTCAAAATCCTTTGAACAAGGCGTAACTCATTTCAAAAAATTTCAATTACTTTATTATTCAATAAAAAGTTGGTATTTGTACGAATTTTTCGACGTTGTAGTTTTGAAAAGATGATTCTGGCCTTTGATGACTGTATATAATAAAATATTCGCTTGAAGGTCCAGTCAGAGACATATTAGTGGCAGAAACGGAAGTTAGGAGGGGTAGACGTAAACCTAGTAGATTACTGTTCACAAATAGTTAAGGATGTGGGTTGTTCTAGTTTTAGGGAAATGCGAAGATTAGCTCAGGATAGGAAAGAGTAGAGGTACGTGTCCAACCAGTCTTAGGATGACTTTATGATAATGATGATGCTCGATTTCAAGCTGCCACCAGTGTATCAAGCTTTTTAAGCCTCTTTCTATTCTAAAACTTATGACTTTCTGATAACATCCATTAAATGATCGTTGATGATATTCTATTCTAAAAGCGTTAAAGAGGCGTTATATTGCTATTGTATAATTAAATACGAATTTCCTTACATAATAATCACCCAGATATATTATTCTTCAATTGTATGACTTAAGGCTTTGAGATGTTTGTAACAGAAATACTTGATTTCTTTACAGCAAATTTTATGTGCTTTTTTTTTTGGTTTATACATTTTATTTTTAAGAAGATTTATAACTAATACCTATGTAATATTGTGTACGTGGATTAATGTAGAATAGGCACATTTTGTTGTAACTTTTGTTCAACTTGTTTCCTTATAATTTACAGTAATATGAAAAGAGCATTCATTTTTCTATGCCTGTCGATTGTCCTTCCAAATGCAATTAGTGACGACGCAAATCCCACAATCAAAATATCCCAGGGACAGGTTTTGGGCTCGAGAATTACAACGCGGTTGGGAAAAATAGTCCACGCATTCAGAGGAATTCGTTATGCGAAAGCCCCAATAAAGGAACTAAGATTTCAGGTAGTTACTTATGTATAACAAATAAGTGTTTTAAATAGTCATAATAGAATCTAAAATCGGGACCAACATGAAAAGAATTAGGACAGAAAATAAATTATTGACCATTAATGCAAAACAGAGCAATGTACAGGTCAGACGAAGCAAGCTGGCGAGCGGTCGCCCAGGTACTTGCCCATTTATGACCTATTTGAATAAGTCACTTGGAACCGATACACAAATAAGCTNTGGATTTTCAAAATTCAGTTCTGAAGGTGTAAAATGGGAGTTTGCAATATGATCAAATTCCGGGCGGACGAAGTTTGTAAAATATGAAACCAATTATTTTTTGGTTTACAATAAGTAAATATTATTTAAAAAAGGTATATATCTTAAATAGTCCTTCTAATGTGACCTTTTAGTAGTTATAAATTGTCAAGTAAAGCATGACAACGGTGATGTCACAAAACATTTGCAAAATTAGCATTTTCCGCCGGTCCGAATAGGGAAGAGGTAGCGAACGGTCGACCAGTCTTCTGCACCTGAACGCTATTTGTACATGTATGCTAATTGTTCGTATTTTCGTCATCGGTATCGATTTTCAGTATATACTGTACCTAATTCTAAGTTTAGTTCTTCTCGGATTCCTTGTAACTCTTCACCTTTTCACTTTTGGAAGCATGAGAAATCGCTGTTACATCTAAAATAATTAATGTCGACTTTGCAAACATTTCAGTTTGGAGATTAATTTGTAATTAATTATGTTTTAAGCCACCACAACCGCCTGATGAATGGAGTGGTACCCTTAATGCAACTGCCGATGCTCCTACCTGTCCTCAAGAAGTAACTGGACCCACAAATGAAGATTGCCTCTTTCTAAATGTGTACACAACAATGGTAAGAATTGTATTTATTACAATACATCACGTCATAAAAATTTCTAAAAACTTAAAACAAATGTACCATGATTTTCTCGGTAATTGCCCAGAATTGGGACTCCAGGCCAAAATCGCTCCAAAACTTTTTTCATCGAATTTCGGTTATTCTACATAATAGAATTAGATATTAGAAGGTGAAGGAGACAGGTTTTTATGACTTCATAAATAAAAAAAAAATTTTTGAATAATAATTTCCAAAATTGCTCCAGTTCTGGATAATTACCTGCATTGGTGACGCCATTGTTTGCTTAGGTAGATTTATGACAGATTGGAGTATATTTAACACCTTTGCCCTTATGTTAGAGTATTTTATTCACAGAAAGCATTAGTTTTATACATTTTGTAGTAAAATATCGGAATTTCGTACAATTCATAGAATTGGGGCTCTCCACCAAAATCGTTCCAAAATTTTTTTCATCGATATTTGGTCATTTCTGAGGGTTCCATGTTCAATAAAACTAATACTTTCTGTGAATAAAATACTCTAACATATCAGGACTGGGGCATTATATGAACTCCAATCTATCCTAAATCTACCTAACCAAACAATAACGTCACCAATGCAGGTAATTATCCAGAACTGGAGCAATTTTTAAAATTATTATTCAAAAATTTTTTTTTTATTTATGAAGTCATAAAAACCTGTCTCCTTCACCTTCTAATATCTAATTCTATTATGTAGAATGATTGGAATTCAATGAAAAAAAAACTGGAGCCCCAATTCTGGACAATTACCATTTTCTCATAATATTTATGGAATGTTTAAAGGCGTTCAAATTTAAACGGGACAGTGTCTTTGTAATTGAAAGGATAGCAGTTATAATAAATTCAAGATTTTTATGGTTTTGAATACCCTTCAACTCATGTGTCTGTCAATAAGTAGTGTTGGAAGAAGGAGAACAATAAACACCACTTACTTTTTATTTATACAGTTTCCGTATTTTTTATTTTAACATAACAATTAATTTACTTTTATGTAAAATAGCTTCCAACGCAGAGAAGGAATCCGAGGCGTCCCGTAATTGTTCATATCCATTCGGGCGCATTTGTTATGTTTACAGCAAGGAGTAATTGGATAGGACCGGAATATTTACTTGATGAAGATGTGGTTTTTGTAACTCTGAACTACCGACTTGGAGTATTAGGTAAATTTGAAAATCATTTCCTGTTCGCTTTATAAGCAGCGGCGGGAACGACCTCTTTTGTGACTTCGGAGATGATTCAATCCCATACAGGGGTGCACATTTAGTCTAGTACATGTGTCGCAAATATTATTGAATAGTCAATATAAGTCAAACTGAAGGACCACAATGTTTTTTTAATTATACGAATGTCATTTATAGTCAACAAGTTGTTACCCATGGCTTTACTTGCGTTGATGTCCTGAATACGTGTCAAAGGTCATCGAAAATATAATAATTTGATAAAAAGTCCTGAACACAAGGATTTAACTAGTTTCGAACTTCTAGGTTAAGAAATATGCGCTAGGTATATTTTATTTATTTTTTACTTTAATTTTCTCGTCCTCAAAGTCGAGGATGTTTACACGACCTACTGACCTTTTACAATTTACACATTGTAACCACCAATAACCTATGAAACAAACCTATACATCAAATAATTCAGGATTCAAGTTCCTTATGATTAATAAATGTTTCAAGAAAAAGTTTTATTTGTAACATTACATAAATAAATTAAATAAACATATAAGGGAACGTACTCATACTATGTCACCCAATCGGGGGTGGGGGATCTTCAAAAATACCACGCATGGTCACAGGTGTGGGGTGAAGCTTATGTTTTCGTCATGTGGGTATTCAATATCCCTTAGGGAAACTCGCACTTTTTGGGCTATATTCAAAACTTTCTGATTGCAAAAAATTATTTAAAACGATATTTATGAATTACTACGTGAAAACTAGAGGGTGAGGGGGGGGTCTTGGTATATACTACGGGTAGTCACTGAAGGGGGAAGAGTGGTAAAAAATTGTAAAAAATGGATCACGTAGTATGGATACATTCCCTAATTGCTTCTTCTGGTGAAAACATGCCAAAAGTATCTCTTCTACAGCATATTTTAGGGTCACCGCAAGCGGATTGGTACCATTATTTTCCCGTTTCTTTGAAGATTTGTTTTATAATTTTTACATAACTCCCAAGGTAAAATGTGGGGAACTAGCGAAAATAAAGTTCTGTTTTTGAAAGTTTATAATTAGTAAATCTTAAAACAAAGGAATTGTTGTCGATAAAACATCAGAAAACATAAAATTGCCAGTATCAGCAAAACGTATTATTTTTTTATATAATACATTTTATTATTGTATTATTTTAGGTTTTATCAGTACAGGAGATAAGGAAGCGCCAGGAAATTTGGGTTTAAAAGATCAAGTGCAGGCACTCAGATGGGTTAAGGAAAATATTCAGTACTTCGGAGGAAATCCAAATTTGGTAACGATTTATGGCTACAGTGCTGGATCAGCCAGCGTTATGATGCACATGGTTTCCCCTATGTCAAAAGGTAGATGTAAATAAAAAATCAAGTTGCTTGTGATTTTAATTAAATTTTAACCATCAAGGGCGCAGTTTATGCTAGAAATAGGATGGCATTCAAATAAAACAATATGGAATATTTCACTAGTCTGTATTGTTCTCGACAGTATTGTTTCGGCTGGTGTGGTCATTATCAGAAGTAAAAGTACTTGCTGATCAAAACAATATTGTATCTTTATCAGTTTTTCCTGATTTTTTAACTTTGTTACTAGAAAAAGTTATCAGTAACAAATGATTTGGTTTTATTAAATGTTCATTAATTTTTTAATGATTTGCTAAAGTTTCTGCTTTTCTACATTATTGTGCGATTCTATTCCAATAATATATTTAGGGCATTTCTACCAAAATTATGTAGGGTAATTATCTATTTTGTAATCGTCTGGTTTGTTTCTGTTGATCTTTTTGTTATACGAATATTTTCTTAATAGGTTACTATTGACTAGATTTCTCCAAATCTTTCTTGCGTAAACCAATTCCTTTGCATGGTGTAAAATCATTTTGCTCCTCTGTACGATTTATTTTTTTTTATTCCAGTTTCTTTACTTGTTACTCCCTAATCATTCTACTCATGTTTTGGCTTATATACTTTCATATACTTACACAATACCCATGTTTTTGAACCGAACATGACTATATAAATGTATATAGAACTATATAGTGACACAAAAGATCTATCTTTTTTTTTATTTGGACTTGGATCATTAAGTATGGCAACAAGCTACACAAGTATTTAAATTCTCTGACATATTCTATGATTATTTCAATGATAAACAGTCAGTTAAGTTTTAGGTATTTTATCTTAATTTTGTTGCTTACTACGTTTAAGGCAAAAGAAGATCAATACGTATCACAAACCTTCATCATAAAATCGTCAGTCCTAAGACTGATTGCACCTCCACCCTTTCCTATCCTGGGCTAATCCTCTTAACTCCTGTTTCAGCCTCTAATATGTCTCTGACTGGACCTTCATGCCTGAGAAGGTGCCCTACCAACCTATCTCGCCTATTTCTTACTGACTTCCATAGAGTCCTCTGTTCACCTATTCTTTCTAATACCTCTTCATTTCTAACCTTCTCTATCCAGTGTATCCTCATTATTCACCGGTAACACCACATTTCGAACGCTTTTAACCTTTTCTTTTGTGCTGCATCCACCGTCTATGTTTCGCACCCGTACAGTGCCGCGCTCCAAACGTATACCTTTAACAACTTTTTTTTGAATTTCTTAATTAATCGTTCGCGAGCATAGACGTGACTTCTTCTTATTAAAGGTGACACGACCCTGCGCTATCCTCTGCTTTATATCCCTACTACTCTTTCCGCCCTGACATATCTGACTTCCTAGATACCTAAAATCTTCTGTATCTACTTATTTTTGTTTGGTTTTAATTTAAGCTCAGCTACTAATAAATAATAACAAAAGAAACTATAGACGATAAGTATCAACTTAAAAACCAACTTTAGAAAATTTTCATCCAACACATTTCGTTGTCGAAATCATTTTCAAAACCACAGCACACTGTACTTAGAAAAGAAAGATTTTTAATTTCCAATAATTATTAGCAAGTAAAATTAAAAAACACAATTACAATTTTTAATTAACATAAAGATGTAGTCTCTTTGGTAAACAATGAGACGCTGTATATTGTCCCCCTATTTTATAGGATCATAAAGTTAAATGGGACCGCGTGGGGGTACCTTCAATTTCTGTTACGTAATTTATGGATTACTCCTTATGTAACTAGTACTGAGTACTTTCGTTTAAGGAACTTTTTTATGCTGCTAATTACATCGAGTTTTCAGAAAAATTAATCAGACGTTTATTTTTAGGGCTGTTTCATAGAGCTATCGCCAGTAGCTGTTCAGCCCTAGGAACATGGCCTTCTAAGACACACCAACTGGATATTGTTAAAAGACAAGCGAGGGTTGTTGGCTGTCCTGACAATACCACCACTGCTGAAATAATTAAATGTCTGAAAACTATTCCGGCAGATGTACTTGGTACTTCTATATCAAAGTTAAAAGTAAATTATTACAACTTAACATGTCAGGAAAGTAATAGGTAATAAAATTACTTCTTCTAGGTGTTCGGTTACCATCCGATTTTGATTTGGGAACCGGTAATAGAACCCGATTTTGGCCAGGAAAGATTTTTGACCGATTTACCTCTAAAGCTTGTAGCAGAAGGTAACTTCGAAAATGTCCCACTTATGACTGGGGTTACTACTGACGAATTTTCTTACGCAGCGCCAGGTATGCAAACCAACTTGATACAAAGTAATTTCGTAGGATTCCACGACCGGAATCGCATGAACGAAGAGGTAGATCCGGACTGTTGGACCTTGGTCGAAAGGAACTTGTAGATCCAAACGTTTGAACTGCAACTTTGGCTATGTCAGATACATGAGACTTCAAGGTACAACCTTCGACTAAGGAATCAAGCTATCCACTGAAGATGACTGCTGAAGTTGCAGTGGAAACGTTTGGATCTCCAAGTTCCTTTCAACCATGACCCATCAGCCCAGATCTACTTCTTTGCTCAAACAGGTAATGCAGGTACAATTGTATATGTGTGCTGTACTATTGGTTATTTTTAAAGGTACTGTATATTATTTTAGAAGGTGTCTATCATACATTTGATAAGTGGATGATAGATAAATCTAATAATTGGGTGATTTCAAAAGTAGATAACTCGTTTTCTTATTACATCAAATTGGTTTTAATCATATCTAATTGATAAAAACGAACCCGCTTTGATGCGTAATTTATTATAAATTGAATGTAAACAATGGAACGCCAAAAAACAGACTCGAACATTCAAAACCGAAGTCACTTAAATAATTCTCGTCCAATAGTACGAAAAAATCGGACGATAGGTAAAGCCTATCGCGTATTTAGGCAGAAGAAGTAAATCCACCGACAAGAAAGATTTATAGTCAAGGAGCTCAAAGTCATACAGCAAACTATAAGCTAAGATATCAACGTAATCTACATATATATATAAAAGAAAGTCGTGTTAGTCACACTATTTATAACTCAAGAGCGGCTGAACCGATTTGGCTGAAAATTGGTGGGGAGGTACCTTAGAACCAGGAGGACATACGGTACTTTTTTTATCCCGTTCTCGTGGAACACGACATAAAACGTAGTATAAGAAAACGCAACTAATATGAAATAACAAAACGCAATTGACAGCAAAACGAAAAATTTATCAGTCAAAACATCAATCTAGCCGTTCATCTGTTAAAAATGGTATAACAAAAATTCAATCTCTGTTAGAGGGGAGGAGTAGCGAAGAGTAGTTGCAATGTTTAAATGGAACATATATTATTTGTGGTCAGATTTACTTGAAACTTGGTTTCAATGGTCTCTCATTTAATTTCTGAAAGACCTACCTCGACATTTTAAAAAATTCAACCTCCATACGGGGGTAGGGGTAAAAACGTGTTGCAATTTTTGTTTGGGACATACTTTATTTGTGGTTGAACTTACTTGAAACTTCGTACATGTGTTGCAACGTTTCCATGGGGTATATTTTATTTGTACTCGGATTTATTCGAAGCTTGCTCATTGTTGAAATTAAGTAAATACGTGTTTTGGCAATCTTTAAAAATCAACCCTTAAGGATGAAATGTTGTTGCTACGTTTGCATTTGAAATCTAAGATGGCGACATTGCATAAAATTAAAACGTTGTATGGGTGAATTGGGAGTTAAATGGTTTTATGGAGAAATAATATTAATTTCTGCGAGCGAAGCCGAAAAGCTAGTACCTGATAAAAAAACGAAGCCCAAAAATCACCCGTTGAAACCCGCACACGTTGTTTTTAAGAAGTTATGGTCACGCCTCTACTTAAAAACGTTTTACATGAACGTTGATAATTTTTTTTATGTACCAGAAAAATTATCTTACGAGAAGATAGCATAACTCCGCTATTTTTGGTCACCTTTCTTTCAATGTTTTTAGAGAACTTTCTAACGGTGTTTATTTTTTACTCTATATTACTAACAAAAACAGGGTACGATTTTAGAAGCTTAACATACGAATAAATCATAAAAAGGAATTTTTGGAACTGACAAATATTTTTAACATTTATTTTACCAAATTTTCATTTGATACTTTGAAATCTGTGCAATTTACACCTGGTGTCATATCATAATCATTAAATATTCTTAAACATTTTACAGATATTCTTACAAACGAGACCTTGTTAAGATTGCTTAACAACGAGTTCAACACGTACACTCCAATTATGCTTTTCTATGAGGAAAACACTCAAAGGTCCAAAATAATAAGCGATGCACTTAGGAAATTTTATTTAGGGGACGGACCAATTAATAACTCATCAATTACAGGACTTGGACAGGTTGGTAAACCAATCTACACTTATCCAAAAGGAAAGAAATACATACTTGTAATAATATTTATTGAATTCTTCCAAATTTTAGCTGCTAAACGATGGTATCATTGGATTTGGGGTAAACAGAGCAGTAAAAGTCTACCAACTGGATATTGTTAAAAGACAAGCGAGGGTTGTTGGCTGTCCTGACAATACCACCACTGCTGAAATAATTAAATGTCTGAAAACCATTCCGGCAGATGTACTTGGTACTTCTATATCAAAGTTAAAAGTAAATTATTACAACTTAACATGTCAGGAAAGTAATAGGTAATAAAATTACTTCTTCTAGGTGTTCGGTTACCATCCGATTTTGATTTGGGAACCGGTAATAGAACCCGATTTTGGCCAGGAAAGATTTTTGACCGATTTACCTCTAAAGCTTGTAGCAGAAGGTAACTTCGAAAATGTCCCACTTATGACTGGGGTTACTACTGACGAATTTTCTTACGCAGCGCCAGGTATGCAAACCAACTTGATACAAAGTAATTTCGTAGGATTCCACGACCGGAATCGCATGAACGAAGAGGTAGATCCGGACTGTTGGACCTTGGTCGAAAGGAACTTGTAGATCCAAACGTTTGAACTGCAACTTTGGCTATGTCAGATACATGAGACTTCAAGGTACAACCTTCGACTAAGGAATCAAGCTATCCACTGAAGATGACTGCTGAAGTTGCAGTGGAAACGTTTGGATCTCCAAGTTCCTTTCAACCATGACCCATCAGCCCAGATCTACTTCTTTGCTCAAACAGGTAATGCAGGTACAATTGTATATGTGTGCTGTACTATTGGTTATTTTTAAAGGTACTGTATATTATTTTAGAAGGTGTCTATCATACATTTGATAAGTGGATGATAGATAAATCTAATAATTGGGTGATTTCAAAAGTAGATAACTCGTTTTCTTATTACATCAAATTGGTTTTAATCATATCTAATTGATAAAAACGAACCCGCTTTGATGCGTAATTTATTATAAATTGAATGTAAACAATGGAACGCCAAAAAACAGACTCGAACATTCAAAACCGAAGTCACTTAAATAATTCTCGTCCAATAGTACGAAAAAATCGGACGATAGGTAAAGCCTATCGCGTATTTAGGCAGAAGAAGTAAATCCACCGACAAGAAAGATTTATAGTCAAGGAGCTCAAAGTCATACAGCAAACTATAAGCTAAGATATCAACGTAATCTACATATATATATAAAAGAAAGTCGTGTTAGTCACACTATTTATAACTCAAGAGCGGCTGAACCGATTTGGCTGAAAATTGGTGGGGAGGTACCTTAGAACCAGGAGGACATACGGTACTTTTTTTATCCCGTTCTCGTGGAACACGACATAAAACGTAGTATAAGAAAACGCAACTAATATGAAATAACAAAACGCAATTGACAGCAAAACGAAAAATTTATCAGTCAAAACATCAATCTAGCCGTTCATCTGTTAAAAATGGTATAACAAAAATTCAATCTCTGTTAGAGGGGAGGAGTAGCGAAGAGTAGTTGCAATGTTTAAATGGAACATATATTATTTGTGGTCAGATTTACTTGAAACTTGGTTTCAATGGTCTCTCATTTAATTTCTGAAAGACCTACCTCGACATTTTAAAAAATTCAACCTCCATACGGGGGTAGGGGTAAAAACGTGTTGCAATTTTTGTTTGGGACATACTTTATTTGTGGTTGAACTTACTTGAAACTTCGTACATGTGTTGCAACGTTTCCATGGGGTATATTTTATTTGTACTCGGATTTATTCGAAGCTTGCTCATTGTTGAAATTAAGTAAATACGTGTTTTGGCAATCTTTAAAAATCAACCCTTAAGGATGAAATGTTGTTGCTACGTTTGCATTTGAAATCTAAGATGGCGACATTGCATAAAATTAAAACGTTGTATGGGTGAATTGGGAGTTAAATGGTTTTATGGAGAAATAATATTAATTTCTGCGAGCGAAGCCGAAAAGCTAGTACCTGATAAAAAAACGAAGCCCAAAAATCACCCGTTGAAACCCGCACACGTTGTTTTTAAGAAGTTATGGTCACGCCTCTACTTAAAAACGTTTTACATGAACGTTGATAATTTTTTTTATGTACCAGAAAAATTATCTTACGAGAAGATAGCATAACTCCGCTATTTTTGGTCACCTTTCTTTCAATGTTTTTAGAGAACTTTCTAACGGTGTTTATTTTTTACTCTATATTACTAACAAAAACAGGGTACGATTTTAGAAGCTTAACATACGAATAAATCATAAAAAGGAATTTTTGGAACTGACAAATATTTTTAACATTTATTTTACCAAATTTTCATTTGATACTTTGAAATCTGTGCAATTTACACCTGGTGTCATATCATAATCATTAAATATTCTTAAACATTTTACAGATATTCTTACAAACGAGACCTTGTTAAGATTGCTTAACAACGAGTTCAACACGTACACTCCAATTATGCTTTTCTATGAGGAAAACACTCAAAGGTCCAAAATAATAAGCGATGCACTTAGGAAATTTTATTTAGGGGACGGACCAATTAATAACTCATCAATTACAGGACTTGGACAGGTTGGTAAACCAATCTACACTTATCCAAAAGGAAAGAAATACATACTTGTAATAATATTTATTGAATTCTTCCAAATTTTAGCTGCTAAACGATGGTATCATTGGATTTGGGGTAAACAGAGCAGTAAAAGTCTTTTCAGCAAAGAACAGCCAGCCAGTGTATTATTATAAATTTACCTATCAAGGACGTTACAGTAACGCTTATCTTCCAGGAACAAACAATACTGTACCTTATGGTACGTCTCTGCTTTATAATCAGGTTCATTTAGTGGTCCCACAGTTATTAAATGTATGTCTAATCAAAAAGTATTGCGAATTTTGTGTTTTTTCAAAAATTAGTTTTTTATTCATGAAAATCTATTTTGCCCCTTCAAAGTAATCTTCACCAGATAATATACACTTGGGCCAACGGTTTTTCCAATCCTGGAAGCATTTTAAAAAATCATTTTTTGTGATCTTGTTCGGCTCCTCCTTCGATGCCGCCTTTATCTCATCAATCGTTAGCGTAGCATGGTCCTTTCATGGGCCTCTTCGGTTTCGGGAACAAGAAAAAGTCACAAGGGGGCAGAGCTGAGGAATACGGTGGCTGCGGCATTATTAGTGTGTTGTTTTTGGCCAAAAACTCGTGCACAAGCAAGGATGTGTGAGCAGGTGCTCAATCCAATTTTTGTTCTTCTGTAAATCCGGGCGTTTATAGCGGATTGCTTCGAGCAAATTGCGTGATCTTTATTGATCGTTCCACCATGTGTCAAGAACTCATGATGCTCCCTGCAATCGTAGAAAACTGCTAGCAAAATCTTCAAATTCGACCTAACTTGGCGCGCTTCTTCGGTCTTGGCTCGTGCGGCAGCTTCCATTGGGAAGATTGAGTTTTGGTTTCCGCGTCATAATCGTAAACCCATGATTTGTTACCAGTTATGACCCTCTGGAGCAAATTTGGACAGAGTCCAACAACTCCTCATAGCAATGTTAATGCGATGTTGTTTTCGGTCGAAATTGAGCAGTTTTGGTATGAATTTCGTGGCGACCCGTTTCATACCCAAATCATTGGTAAAAATCAAATGACAGGAGCCAATCGATATATTTAGGTCCTCAGCAACTTTTCTAATGGTGATTCGATGATTGGCCAATACTATTTTCTTCACTTCATCAAAGTTTTCGTATGTTTATGTGCTAGCGCGTCCGCAACGTTCTTCATCGTCTACATCTCGGCACTCTGGGAACATTTTGTACCACGATAAACGTTGCTTCGGTCCAAGGCAGCTTCACCATGCGCAATAGTCTACATCCGGAATGCGCCTTCGCACTTAAGTTTGTTTTTCACACAAAATTTGATATCGATTGTTTGATCAATTTTTTTGGAATAGGCAAAAATTGAAGACGAGCCAAAACACGTGCAAGCAAAGCAGCTGTCAATAATTAACTGAATATTCAACATGGTCGAACTTATCGGTATAGGCGAGTGACATGAGTACTTACATAACGTCACAAAGAATCGAAAATCGAATATACGCAACCGGCGAAAATTCAAAATTCACAAAACTTTTTGAACAGACCCCGTATGTACCGTATGCGAAAGACTGGATCTTGGTGTAAGGTATCATACACTACTATATTTTATTCTCAGCTTCGCTTGCGTTCTTTTTTTATTGCAGTTAAGTTAAGTATTTAAAAATTGAAAATTACATATACAACAGTTAGAAATATGCCCCTATGCCCCTTCCCTTTAGCGGGATGCATCGTAAAAAATTCAAACTATCTTTGTCATGCTCACGCCTAGTGTGTATATTCATCTTAATCCCGCTTCACATCTCTAACCGTTTGAAATGATAGTAATTTTTTTAAATCCTCGGGAACAGTATCCTTTTTCCTGAATAAAAGGTACCCTAAGTACTTTTATTTACCTGTGACAATGTGTGTAGGGGAGACCGGGGATGGTTGACTAGTTTTTTACTGAATAGTTCATATTTTTTGTGTTTTAATGAATATAGACAAGAAAAGCATGTTAATTGATAGAAAATCTATTAACCTAATAAAAATATGTAATATTTAGTTCTTAGTTTAGTATAATAGTGATGATTTAATGCATTTTACAAAATATTAAATCTTAGTCAATCTACCCCTGGCCCGGGGTAGGTAGACCATATGCCCGGGGTAAGTTGACTCATGTACCAGTAAGAGTCAAATCATGAGAAGGAGCAAATAATTAAACATTTTTTTAATATAATTAAGCCTTTTGTTAAAAAATAAACTGGCTAAAGTTTCCTCTTCTAGATTAGTAAAAATTTGTCAATTTTTTATATATTCCACTGTGTCCAGGGTTAATTCTGCTCTCGTCAATTTCGGATTCTGTTCTAATTTTTCTTTTAATTTGGCCACGTAACGATTTAAAAGTCCAATAAAAAGTTAATTTATGTGTTGTTTTCAACTACATATTTCATTGGGGTTGGTTGAATAATTATTCAACCAGCCCCGAAAAAAATTGGTCTACCAACCCCAGACGCCATTTTTAATTTTGATCGCATGGCTAGCCTAAACACTGCCGTCGACTTGAAAAATAAGATATGAAATATGATAAATGTGCCCTCATTAAATGCTAGGACTAATAGAAAAATGATTTACATAAAACGAGTAGGCATCAGATCAAAAAATACAATATATCAAAATATTACTTATGTAATTGAAATATGAAAAGCATGTCAGTGTTCGAAAACAACGCACGATCGCGATGTGACGCTTCAGACAACTGAGCGGGACGCGAAATGTAATGCTTGGTTATGATCATAGTTCATACACTGTCGAAGAGTTTTCGGTAATTAGTCTACCTACCCCTATAGTCAACTATCCCCGGTCTCCCCTACAAAGTTTCATGAAACAATAACTGTAAGAATGATGAAAATTTGTGAAATTTTCAGTTGTAATGGTGACATTAATTTAATGTTTCCGTAAAGTCTTACCGGAAACATACCAAAACAAGCTAATACTGATATCAGGTGAGATTTATGGTTATACATATTATTATGTTTTAGGTGTAGTTCATCAAGACGACTTGATTTATTTGTTTTACATTGCCGCGTCCTACCCAAAATTCACAGCCAACGATCCCGAATCAAAGACTGTCGACAAGATGATTAAAATATGGGCAAACTTCGCCAAGACAGGGTAAGATATTGAAAATTATATTGTGTATAAGTATTAGCTTACTCTACAGCTTACAGCCGACATCTTTATTCGCTTGATAGAATTCGTATAGAATTCTGGTCACTTGAACTGAATAATACTTACCTAAGTAAATTACATAGGATAGTGAGTATTCACTTGAAATACCGAGATGAAATAACAGTTTTGATTGTGGTCCTTAATGACATCTTTGTTTTATGGGTACCAAGAACAGACAAATAAATTGATAATAGCTTGCCATGTGGTTGCTTAAATTTACATCTACCGAAATCAGATAATGTGTGAAGAGCTTTTAAAAGCAATATTTATCTTAACACTAGTTTTGTAAAGCAGACAACTTAATGGATTTTTAGTCAATTTTTATTTTGACGTTTCGACTCCTAGTACTAGCTGTTTAGTAACAATAAAATACATATTGTAATAAACTTAATTTCTAGTAGTCTATTTGTCTCGATATTCTCTACAAATAATTTATTCAACACAAAAAATGTTTACATGCAGCTGTCTTTCCAACAGTCTGCTATTTATATCACCCTATATCACTATATAGACTTCTTGTTCGCGCACTATTTGCTTAAGGTATCGAGCAATATTCTGTCAATTGCTGGTCTTAATTTACACGTTTCCAGAAACTTCTTCTGAGTCCTCCTACTTCGCGACTGTCTACTTCAAAAGCACCACCTATATCGATCGCTTGCGGCATTTGTTCATAACGATATATGTATTACTACAACATGACCCAAAAGATTTGTTTCATTGCTAAATGTACGCATAATTTTCAGAAACCCAATTCCTCAGCCAACATCCCTTCTAGACAACGTTACATGGGTGCCTTTTACTGAACAGAATGGAAAATATATGAAAATTGGGAACAGTCTTGAAATGGACAAGTTTCTATATGAAGACAGATACAAAGTATGGGAAGATGTAGTACCGCTTCCGACAATATAGCACAACAATAAACAGCCATATATATATAAAATTACTTATGCCTTACTATAAACGTTCTTCTATAATAATAAATAGTTCAATAAATATTAGTTACAATGCTTATCTTTTAAACTCGATCATAAACTCTATTGTACCAACGTCAGAAATGAAGACCTGTGACTTCACTACGATGGTTGTGTATTTTTTCAGAGAAGCTTTTTTCCAATTGAAACAGGTGACAAAGGTAAATAAGGAAGAATATAGAAGAATTATTTGTTGCTGAACTGAAGAAACTATAACATAAAGAAAGCAATACTATTGGGATCCGTCAAATGGGAAGAGCCTAAAAACATGGCGCCGATCAGGGAAAATTCATCGTAGTTCCTATAGTGTACCGTGCAATTTCAAAGTTTTTAAATTACGATAAAATGATAAGTATTGACACAATATGTGATTGGGCTGACACAAAGTCTCGGAAAGGAAATTTCGTTGAAGGTGAGGGTGTTTTTAATGCCAATCACATTATAAAATTCAGAAATAACAAATCCGGAAGCTAGCCTTCAAATTCCGTCAAGTTTACTGCCTACTTTTTACAAACTTCGGATTTAAAAAGTGATTCACGTTATATAATTGGTGAGGTGATTCTGGGTGATTTAAGCAATATCATATCAATGACTTGCACGTGCAAAGCCGATTTAAGAGAACGTTGCAAACACATTATTGCAACTTTGTTGTATTGCAGCAGGTAGGTTCTTAACCTCAAAATACTTATATCGTATCATTAGAATTGTGTTAAATCAATTACACAGGAATAAATAATTTCTCACTTTATAATTTTAGTATGATTCTAGTTTTAAATATTAAGGTTATGGCTGATGGTAAATACTTGCTGAAATATAATCATGTGCATTAAAATGACGTGAACAAATTTTTATTCCGGAATTCACTTCTTTGATACCTACTGCTTTCATCCAAGCTTCTATTAGTTTACTTTTTTCTCTAATTTTCCGAATATATTTTTTACATATATAAAACGGTTAGTTTTTATTGGAAAGTAGTTAATGTAGGTGAAGAGTGAAGATCTATGTCTGAAGTGCTATTGCAGCTTTTCACTGAACATATTAACTTTTTATTTGATTTAACTTTAGAAGAAAACTTCGTCGACTCCATCATCAAAAAAATTTTTACTTTTTTAACGTGTTTTATTATTTTAATAAACAATTTTACAATTTGCGTGCACAGTTCGTAAGTAAATTTTTCCCTCATTCGAGTTATAAATTTTGCCACCAGATGGTGTATGCCCATTTGACGGATCCCAATATCTCAATTACTTCAAGAAGAAAAATATGAATCATACTCAATCTTCGCAGCTTTACTATAGTGCAAACACCACTATTAGTCTAGAAAATGCTTGGTTATCTTAAAAAATATCTTATACTTAAGTAAATGTAGAAAATCAAATAGGTATTACACAAAAGTATTCATTTGAAAAAAGTATTTTGCATTTAGCATTTAAAATGCAAAAGGGAAATCTATTTTGTATTTTACATTTGAAATAACAAATCAATTAACAATAAATACATGGACAATGGTAAAACAATCTTTCCATGAAGATGTAGACGAACTTTAACGAGAAACGTTACGAAGTCTGGGACAAAGTCATTCCATTACCTCAGCCAACGACAGTGGGATAAAACAATAATTCCACATTTGATTACTAATTTATAATTTTTCTTAATAAATTATAAAATAGAGTATCGTTTATCTACTTTATAAGTAAGTAGCCTTAACGGTTGTGACGTTTTCTAAGGAATATATAAATGTTGTTAGTTAATATAAAGTTAATACAAGAGGAAATAACTTGGGGCATTATTTATTACTAGTACTTTTGACATTCTCTTCTTTTTATTCTCTGTCTTTTTATACCTATTGAATTAATTTTCTTTTTCTTAATAATTAATTAATCCTTTCACGAAGATATATAAACCTTAGTGAGGTTCTTGTCTAACATTGGTAACAGTTAGCAGCAAATATGAGTAGATGGCGACACACTGTCCTAACTCGATAAAAATTAAGTGTACTATCAAAATATTCAACAGAAAATTATATTTAATAATAATCTTTTGATGAGTTCAAATAACATCGAAATCGTAGTTGAGCATCATCATCATATGGTAGTCAGTCCTAAGACTGGTTGGACACGCACCTCCACTCTTTCCTATCCTGAGCTAAAGGCATTTCTCTAAAACCAGAACAACCCACATCCTTAACAATTTGCGAATAGTAATCTAATCTAAGTCTACCTCTACCCCTCCTAACTCCTGGTTTTGCCTCTAATATGTCTCTGATTAGACCTTCATGCCTGAGAATACCAACCTATCTCGCCTATTTCTCATGGACTTCCATATGGTCCTCTGTTCTCCTGTTTTTTCTAATACTTCTTCATTTCTAACCTTTTCTACCCACGTTATCCTCATCATTCGCCTATAACACTACATTTAGAACGATTCTAACTTTTCCGTTGCGCCCACTGTCCAAGTTTCGCACTGGTACAACGTCGCGCTCCAAACATACACCTTTAACAACCTTTTCTGAATTTCTAAATTAACCGCTTGCGAGCGTAGAAGTGACTTCTTTTATTTTTAGTTAAGATTAAATTTTATTATTAAGCGTTTATTTGCAAGATTATAGGAGTGAAAAACAAGTTATAAAGTCAATATGTATAAGGGTATCATACTCTAGTCTGATAAATACTATTCCAATAAATAGGTAGGAAGTTAAGGAAGATAAAATTAAATTTCTTGTTTAGTATAAAACAGATACTTTGTTAATAAATGAAGAATTTCAGGAATGCTGTTAATTTTGCATTGTTTTATTTACTCAAAATGAGATAATGAATCATAATTTTTATTGTTGTTTATTGGCTATTTAAAATTGCACTTGACGTTGCCCTTGAAAAACTGGATAATCCAAACCACAGTTTGATTTCTTTTATTTTACAATAAAGATAACGTGTGCATTAATAATGTAGAAGTGGGTTTTCTTGAACTTCTTTAAGAGGTCAGAGCATATTAAGAGATGGTGTAGTGAATTAAATAATGCAGGATCGGCGTAGGAGATTTTTTTTAATAATAATTTTTTGTTTATTCTTGCGTATTTGTTCTTGGTCTTGCATATTCAGTTTTGGTTTTAGTCTTGATCCTGTCCTCTGGGTGTTGGTTTTACTCTTGGTCACGTTCGTTCGGTCTTAGTTTTAGTCTTGGTCTTGTTCTGTGGATGTTGGTTTTAATCTTGGTTTTGTTCGTTCAGTCTTGGTTTTATTCTTAGTCTTGTTCTCTGGGTATTGGTTTTACTCTTGGTCTTGTTCGTTCGGTCTTGGTTTTAGTCTTGGTTTAGTTCGTTCGGTCTTGGTTGTAGTCTTGGTCTCTTTCTTTGGGTGTTGGTTTTAATCATTGTCTTGTTAGTTCATTCTTGGTCTACAAAGACTTCTTGCTACTACAAAGACAGTCTTGGTCTTGATGTTAGTGAAAGTGCAAGACCAAGATCAAGACTGCAAGACCAAATCCAATTTTGCTCATCCTGGAGGCACCTGCCCAGTGAACAATAGAGTAATCCTCCAGTCGTAGATCTCGATTTCGAACGCCGACGAACATTCAACATTCATTAATTTTAATTGCATTTTCAAATTAATATATTTGTAATTACGCCTCTGTTTATGAATGGGTAAGCATTTGTTATAACTAATTCATATAAATTCCCAGCTCGAAGTAAACTGTCACTGTCTGAAGCAGCTTGCATGTGGAAAAGGTGAGTTTGTTAAGGAGTCGCAATCATTTATCTACCTGCCTATACATAGATGTAAATCAGAATAATTTCTACAGTTTTTATATTAACTACCGCATTGACAATTGTGCGATTCATTATCACTAATTGTTTAATAATAATTGTCATTTTGTTAATGACCGTTTTGTCTTCATTGTAGAAAATTATCACTAATTGTTTAATAGTAATTGTCATTTTGGTAATGATCTCTTCATTGTAGAAAAATGTCGAAGGAAGTTTTCCTCTTGTTAGTGACGGTATGTGCAGTAGTTGGATCCGAAGACCCTTGCATCGATACACCCAAAGGAAAGATATTAGGATCCATATTGACCTCAAGACTTGGTAGAACTATTTATTCGTTTAGAGGAATAAGATATGCCAAAGCTCCTATAAACGAATTGCGTTTTCAGGTGAGTACCGACTATAATGTCACAATGGTTGCTTCGCAAAACCAAAGCATCCCTCACCCTTATCTATTTGAGAACAGTATTCTAATCTAGATGCCCCGGTCTTCCCTGTACTGATGATCAAAACAATACCACGACCAAGACCCAGTCTTAGTATTGATCTTGATCTTACTTATTCGGTCTTGATGTTGGTCATATTTTGGTCTTTCTCATTTAATGCACCTAATTAATCTGTTATTCATTAGAAAAAATCCAAGTTTTCTGTCTTTCCTTTTTCTTATTGATTATTCCAAAGCGCTTTTTGTTCTCTCACGCTTTTTAGCATCTCTCATTTGTAACCTTTACTAAGCTTGGTGTTTTATTATCCGCCTACAAACCACATTTCAATCGTATACTCCAAATATTCATACCTTTAACGAAATTTTTCTGATTTCTAAATTAACCGATCGATAGCACAAAAATCACTTTTTTTGTTAGAACTCGAACGCGATATAACTTACATCGTTACTATTTATGTAAAGACAAGTGAAATACATCATCACTACATAGTATAAAACAAAGTCGTTTTCCCGCTGTCTGTCCCTATGTATGCTTAAATCTTTAAAATTACGAAACGGATTTTGATGCGGTTTTTTTTTAAAGACAGAGTGACTCAAGAGGAAGGTTTATATGTATAATACATGCATAATGTAGTAGAGAAACACTGATAATTTTAGATGTTTCTAATGTGATGTCGTAAAGGCACATTTTTTGCGCTTAAATTACAAACGCTGGCTGAACCCTACGAGATAGATCAAAATAATGTACTACAATATTGTACATCTTAAAAGGGTCTACAAAAAAGTCCGCGATGTCTATCTCATAGGGATAACACACAATAACCATTTTATCCTTTATTTTTTATGAGAAATAATAACTTATTTACGAAGCGATTGTAGGCAATACAGCATTAATTCTTATCCAATTAAGTACTTTTAAATACATTGCGCATTTAATATAGATCAATATGGCCCTTTACAGCATGTAATTTAAATGAATATTTTCGAAGATATACAGATTTAAAATGCGGTTTGTATTGTCTAATGGCAAAAAAACAGTGAGTATTATATATAAAGACATTCTGTAGTATATTTAGTATGTTCAGGGAGTATCTTTTGAAGATTTCCCCTTTTCGACAATAATCTAAACAAAACAATAATATATTTAGTGTAAGAATTGCACCCGTGCGAAGCTGGGACGGGTCACTAGTATAATATATAATTTACTGTTTACGTGTAATATATAAATTATCTACAAACAGTCCCGAATTAAAAAATCGTAAAAAATAATCCGCATTTGTGACTACAACTAACCTACCTACACTAATGTTTTCATTTAATGCAGTCGCATTAAAAACGTGTAAACAGATTGTAACTTATTTGATACAATTTTACAATACGGACCTGAGACTTTTCAGGAAATGCTTTCCTGTCGAATTAAATTTTACAAATAAAAGTTAAATATCAAGTACCAACTGCACTATAACTTTAGTTGAGCTTCACCTACGTGAAAGGCATTTAAACAAAATTAATAAGAACAGATGATGAAGTTCGACATTATTTTATCTCATCAGCACGACATAGCCATTTTCGATTTGGTCGATGACTTATAGGGTTTTTTTTGTGACATTAATAGCCACCTCAACCTGTAGGAGCTTGGTCAGATGTCTATAATGCAACTTCAGATGCACCGTCGTGTCCTCAAATTGGTTTTCGGCCTAATAGCGAAGATTGTCTCTATTTGAATGTATACATCACGAAAGTATGTTGGTAATTTGTCTAAACCTTTTAAAGTTGTTTTTAATTTGCCAAAACACCATTACTACATTTTAACGCATAGCTTGACAGGAACTCGTCGTGAAATTTTCAATATTCTCTTGCAGACTGCAATTCTGAATTCAAATATTTATTACGATTTAATTTCAAATTTGAACATTATCAATTAATGGTATAATTCGAAAAGTATATAAAATGCAATCAAAAAAACACTTTAGTTATGATTTGATTAATTTGTTTCATACTAAAGTTGCCAGACAAAAACACAAAACCATTACGTCCAGTTATTGTTCGTATTCATCCTGGAGCGTTCATAAGTTCAACAGGAAGAAGCAACTGGTCAGGACCTCAATATCTTCTTGATGAGGATATCGTACTGGTAACATTCAATTATAGACTTGGAGTTTTAGGTGAGTTTAAAGAAATTCAAGAGATCAATATTTCCTTTCTGATGATGATGATGATGATGATGTGTGAATTATTATGTACTTAAATAGGTTTTATAAGTACTGGAGAAAAGGAAGCTCCAGGAAATTTAGGCATGAAAGATCAAGTTCAGGTGTTAAGATGGGTCAAGGAGAACATCCATTCATTTGGAGGAGATCCCAATTGTGTAACAATTTTTGGTTACAGTGCTGGATCTAGTAGTGTTATGTTACACATGCTGTCTCCAATGTCGAAAGGTAGCGGTTGGAGTCACAAAAACTAAATATTGATTATCAATTCTGTTTGCTCCAGGTCTCTTCCACAGGGCAATCGCTGGAAGTGCTTCACCGCTCAGAACTTGGCCCACCAGAACAAACCTATTAGAAGTGGTAAAAAGACAGGCAAGGATTGTGGGATGCCCAGATAATGTATCGTCCGCTCAAATTGTAGATTGCTTGAAATCTGTACCAGCAGATGTTTTGGGACAATCTGCCAGAAGTTTAGCGGTAAATATAATACACACTTGTGGTTTATTTCTTCTTTTAAAAAACTTCAATTTTTCTGAACGTTCTTATTAGCGCTCCTTGAGAAGCATTTAAGGTGACATATAACAGATTATTGCATTATATAATTTTCATAACATTTCAGAAAATACTACAAACGGCACAGTGAACGCCATCTGTAGCACGATGCTACATTTTAGGATTACGTATTTTTCTAATACAGACCACTTCGAATTATTTTATTCGATTAAGCTAACGTGCCTATCACGTTGAGGTTGGCTACGCCGGGATTCGTTTTCAGCAAGTAGATATCCACACAAGTGGACCTTGTTGGAGCATACGTAATCCTAAAATGTAGCATCGTGCTACAGATGGCGTTCACTGTGCCGTTTGTAGTATTTTCTGAAACGCACTGTTAAGACAGCAGGTAAAAGTTGGTCTGTGTTCTGTCGGAGCTGTCTGCGACGCGCTGATGAGATCCAAAAAGATCGAAATCGCGATCCGCGTCTGGCAGTTTCGACAGAATACAGACCACTTCGAATTATTTTATTTCATAACATTGTTTAAGGAAATAGATATTTTTCCGTTAGCTGCCTGGGAACCAATTGTAGAACCAGATTTTGGTCAGGAACGGTTTTTGGTCGACGACCCTGTCATACAAGCGGCACAAGGTCAATTTCAGAACGTTCCTTTTATGACGGGAGTTAATGTGGAGGAATTTTCGTATTTGGCTCGTAGTAAGTATTATGAAATTTTATCCAAAAATGGACTCTTTGTATACGAGGATGTGTCGCTTAATTTATTCACTTTGTATGTACTTGTATTAAAATAACCCTAAAGTTGGAACCGGAACTAATCAGATCTTATTAACATTTATTAAAAGATATCAGTGTTAATCTTTGGATCCAAGTCGGCAGTGAATGGAAGTAATGCGGTTTAAATACTTCTAGCAGAACTAGAATCTTGGAAAGCGGTTAAAGGGTTTATTAGTTCCTAATTAAAGAGCACCTTATTTTACAAATTTTTTTCCATCTGTCTTGGATAAATATTTAAAGTTTCACTAAAGAATAATTTAGTTCAAATAGGTTTTTGGAATTTCCACCTTCTTGTTGATATCAAACCGTAAAAATCGGAACGAGCATCATGTGAATATTCGATAAGAGTATTTTCATATATCACAAGAAGTTGTTGTACCATTACATAATTACTATTGGTATTTCCGACACGCTGACGAATGTTCTTATCGATAGAATGGCAATAATTGCTATTTTTCAAGTACTCTATTGCTTCGTGCTAAGTTATTTGAATTTGCCTTATTGAATTTGAAATACCTTATATTAATTTGAAATCATTTTTTCGATTTTTTATTTATCCACTACAAACTACCTCAAATTAATGAGGGAAAAATTGTTGCTGTTGTCACACCCCCGCCGGGAATCGAACCCGGGACCTTTGGCTTTACGCACCAATGTTCTACCACTAAACTACGAGAGGTGACAACAGCAACCACAATCTGTCGATCGTTTACCTTGTAGGTCGGTTGATCGTGGTTGCTGTTGTCAGCTCTCGTAGTTTAGTGGTCAGAACGTTGCTGCATAAAGCCGAAGGTCCCGGGTTCGATTCCCGGCGGGGGTGTGGCAACAGCAACAATTTTTCCCTCATTAATTTGAGGTAGTTTGTAGTGGGTAAATAAAAAACATCTAAAAGATTCCTCTACTTGATAATGTCATTTGGGAACCATTTACTTCTGAAAATGGAAAATACATGATTATTGGAAATGAACTTAAAATGGCAACTGGTCCCCATGCCGAAAGATATAAACTTTGGGAAGACTTATTTCCACTTCCAGGAATTGTTTAATTCATTTTAACCTATTTATGTTAAAACTTTGTGGAAACCTGTTAATACTATTAGTTAATACGCATTCTATGTACTATTTAGTGAAACGTTAAAAAATAAATGCCGTTTTATTTAAACAAAAATTCACCTCGTTTCTTTATTCTCTTTTATAAAAAAGAATTAACTTTTATCGCAGAAATTAATATTGTTTCTCCATAAAACCTTTTAATTCCCAATTCATCTTTGCAAAGTTTTAATTTTATGTAATGTCGCCATCTTAGATTTTAAATACAAACGCACCAACAACATTTCATCCTTAACGATTGATTTTTAAAAATTGCCAAAACACGTATTTGCTTAATTTCAACAATGAGCAACCTTCAATTAAATCCGAGTACAAATAAAATATACGCCCTGGAAACGTTGCAACTACTTTTCATTTGATTAATAATATCAAACAGCATATATACCAAGTTTCAAGTAAATTCAACCACAAATAAAGTATGTCCCAATCAAAATGGCAACACCTATTTTACCCCCTGTCCCCTTTGGAGGTTGAATTTTTTAAAATGTCGAGATAGGTCTTTCAGAAATTAAATGAGAGACAATTTTTTGAAAGAATTTATTTTTCAATTTCTATGTTAATGTATGGTATAAATTTTGTTTGCATTTTTATGTTGTTTGAAAGCCGATTCTTAAACATATGTATATAAATTACTGAAATTTAAATTTTACCTGTTGTGACCAACTGGACTTCTGTTTATTCAGACAGTTTTATGTTTCTATTATTTTCTTTAGAGACATTGTAATTTAAGATAGGTAAGTGGTCAGCTAAAACAGGCCGTCGTAGTAAATTGAAAGAGTATTAACAAAAATTCTGTGAGACGGTTAGTATTCAATTTTATGTATTTTTATGCTGAGTTCTGAAGAATTTATAATGTAATTCCATCATAAAACCATCATGCTGGTCAGTTACCCAGTTTATACCAGCTTTTGTTTCGAAATGGTGATTTTCAATTAAGAATCTCAGATTAAACGACAGCACCCTGGATAAAGAAATTTGACCTTGATCACAGTTCCATCGTTTATATGCTATTATAGTAAGGTAATTTGAAAATTTTGAACCGTAAGAATTATTATTATTGTAGAATATTATTATTATATGGTCCCTATGTAATTATTAGAAAAGTGACGTAATCGTATCACATAAAGGGCATAATTTTATATTATATACAAAGGACGCTATGGAGGTGGATAAGTAAAAGGAGAGATATTGGACACTCTGTTAGAAATGATGGACAAATTAAAGTCACATTAGAATAAGAAACAGGAGTAAACAGAAAAAGGGGAATACCTAGACCACTACTGTTCACGAATAGTTATGAAATGGTATCTTAAAAGTTAGAAAACTTATTTAAGAATCCTAGTCCAGAAAATTTGACCTTAAAAGTATACCAATTAGGGGGCATTTCAGTGTGAAACAACTAGGGTTGTTACAATAATCTGGGAAATAAGAAAAGTCGACTTAAAGAGGTGGTGACTTAAAAAGAATCACCTTACCATTGTCATTATCATCAGAAAGTTATAAGCCCAAAGACTGTTTGAACACGCACCACCACTTCTTTCTATCTTTAACTATTTTCGAACATTAATCTACTTTACGTCTACCTCTACTCCGCCTAACTTCTGCTTCTGCTTCATGCCTGAAGAGCTGTCTTACCAACGTATCTAGCTCATTTGTTGTTGATTTCCCCAACGCCCGTTGTTCTCCCACTCTTGCTAACACGTCCTAGGTCTACCTTTACCCGTATTTAGTCCTGTTTCTGCTTGTAATATGTGTCTAACTATCCGTTAATGTCGGAGGAGCTGTCCTACCAACATACTTTGCCTATTTCTTATTGACTTTCATAACGTCCTTTGTTATCCTACTCTTGCTAATACCCCCTAGGTCTCCCTTTACCCCTCTTAAGTCCTGTTGCTGCTAGTAATAAGTCTTTCATTTCTGTGGAGCTGTCCCACCAACATACTTTGCCTATTTCTTATTGACTTTTATAACGTCCTTTGTTATCCTACTCTTGCTAATACCCCCTAGGTCTCCCTTTACCCCTCTTAAGTCCTGTTGCTGCTAGTAATAAGTCTGTAACTAGTCTTTCATTTCTGTGGAGCTGTTCCACCAACATACTTCGGCTATTTCTTATTGACTTTCATAACGTCCTTTGTTCTCCTACTCTTGCTAATACCCCCTAGGTCTCCCTTTACCCCTCTTAAGTCCTGTTGCTGTTAGTAATAAGTCTCTAACTAGCCTTTCATTTCTGTGGAGCTGTCCCACCAGTCTTTCATTTCTGTGGAGATGTCCTACCAACATACTTCGCCTATTTCTTATTGACTTCCATAACGTCCTTTGTTCTCCTACTCTTGCTAATACCCCTAGGTCTCCCTTTACCCTTCTTAAGTCCTGTTGCTGCTAGTAATAAGTCTCTAGTCTTTCATTTCTGTGGAGATGTCCTACCAACATACTTCGCCTATTTCTTATTGACTTACATAACGTCCTTTGTTCTCCTACTCTTGCTAATACCCCCTAGGTCTCCCTTTACCCCTCTTAAGTCCCGTTGCTGCTAGTAATAAGTCTCTAACTAGTCTTTCATTTCTGTGGAGCTGTCCTACCAACATACTTCACCTATTTCTTATTGACTTCCATAACGTCCTTTGTTCTCCTACTCTTCCTTGTTGGTGCTAGTAATAAGTCTCTAACTAATCTTTCATTTCTGTGGAGCTGTCCCACCAACATACTTCAGCTATTTCTTATTGACTTCCACAATGCCCTTTTATTTCTCTAATACTTTCTCATTTCTAACTTCTTCTATTCACGGTATTTTTAAAATCCTTCTGTAACATCACATTCCAAAAGCTTTTAACTTTCTCTTTTCCACAGCTCCGACCATCCACCGTTCACAATCATACAGAGCCGTGTCCCTAACATACACCTATACAACTTTAATAATAATCGTCTTCGAATTTCCAAATTTCGAATCGAGTTATAATGTTTCATGTTTACGAAAGTTTAGTGCAAAAATTAAAATTTTCAAAACATAAAACAGTTATTAATTTTTTATTTATTTATTTGGTAGATATTATTAATCGTATAAGAAATGGTAGATAATATGCAATTTAACAAAATAAGATGTAACTTCATGGATCATATTATTGCAATTTACTGAGTATATTATTAATTTGCAAAAATAAGTGTGTAAACAAATTCTGTGAGATATAAGTTTCATATGCTTGTTATCATCACTTGTATTCGGAATTAACCGTGAGCAACTGGATTATCCAAACCTATCTGACCAAAGAAATCCGGTGACTCTAATAAACTTGACAACACAACAGAAATATAATGCAAATTGACCTCTTGGAAAACACACAACGTTTGTTTTTCCTTTTGTGAATTAAATCGCTGTTGCAGGTCACTGCATTATTTTATAAATGAACAGAACTGTACAGGGACGGCTTTGAAATATTTAACGTACATGAAAAATGTAAATTCTAGCCAGTTTTTTTTTAATGATTGAGGCATTTGCAGTGGAAAGTAATGAACAGTACTTTCAATTTTGGCTGAAGGTTAATGTTTATTATTTTATTTAATTCATAATTTCTTTATTTTTATCGTTTCTAATTATTGTTTCATACGAAGGAATTGTGTTGTTTATGCGTTTTTCTGAATAAATAAAAAGCGGTTGTTTTTCTATTTTACACATTTCTACAAAGCCCTTGGATAGTTAATTCATTAACAGTAGTTTGGCCTTGCGACATAAGTTCATGAACCGTATAGGTATGTTCATATTATATTTATTTCTTTTTTTTAATGAAGATATACCTACATTTTAAGTTATTTCAATAAAGAGATGTTCTGCTTTATTCAAATCAACATGTTTATGTGTAAATTATTTATTTTATTATCCAGTAAATAAATTTCATAAAGCTGTTCTATCGGTAATCTTAAAACAACCTACTCAATATGCAGATATTCAGAAATTTAATAAAATGAGAGTATTTTGAAGATGGTGCGGCATTAATTAGCTATTTGTTTTTTTCGTGGTGTCTACCTAGTGTTAATGGCTTTTTAAATGCTTCTTGAATAGTCGGCTTGTACAGTGTGTCCCAAAAACTGGATTCTATGGACCATATAAATAATAATTAAATACATACACCAAATAAGAATCTTTAAAACTGATAATTCATTTTACTATTGGATAATTAGTTTGACATTTTCTTGAGTATATCTAGACGAATCTAAAGAAAGGGTGATCAAGTATTAAGTAATCAGTTTTATGTGATAATGAATGCTTTCTTACTTTTACTAACAATGTTATAATAGCAAGATTAAAAACTACGAAATAATTAAAGTTTTTTCAAAATAACATTCATAAATGCTATATTTATTAATTATTATGAATGGTACAGTACCATTACGAATAGGAGCGGTTTTTGTATGCACAATGGTTAATACGAATTTTTATAATTAGAAATGCTTTCGAATACAATCTGAGATTTTACAGAGACAATAACACTCACCCCTTTGTGGACTTAATTTCGATATTTTAGGGAAGATTTTGACATAGGTATCTACTGACTGACGTGATCAACTGACCGATTTTTGTACCTATAGTTAGGACGATCAAAATTGGCAAAGTCCGCAATAAATTATCTGTGAGAATGGATGTATCTTCTTTCTTGTTTCCACTTGGGATTGTAGTCATTTACTGCGTTTTGAACACGCCTTTGTTATATTAGGAAATGCTTCATGAGTAGTGCAGACAAAGTAAAAAGAGATAACTGAATAATAGTAAGAGGTGCAGCGATTAGACGTTGCTTAGGTACGCAATATATCAGGGTCGGCTTTATAACTACCTGGTTGGAATTATGTCTTTAAACAAGCATCTCTGCTTTCCTAAATTCTTGAGAATGCTGAACTTTCTTTAAAGTCCGATGCTGGCAACATGTTCAATCGAATAAAATAATTCGAAGTGATCTAAATTCTGTCGAAACTGCCAGACGCTGATCGCGATTTCGATCTTTTTGGATTTCATTAGCGCGTCGCAGGCAGCTCCGACAGAACACAGACCAACTTTTACCTGCTGTCTTAACAGCGCGTTTTAGAAAATACTACAAATGGCGCAGTAAACGCCATCTGTAGCATTTTAGGATTACGTATGCTCCAACAAGGTCCATGTTCAAACTCTGCTTGTCTGCAACTCTTTTTGTAACACATTAACAGGTGTAATGTTATTTTCTTTTCTTTACAAGTGTTTATGATATTCCCTACAACGTCTGTCGTGAGTAAAAATAGGCGTTCTGTCAGCAACCGTTCTAGTCTAGTTAGTAAGTTGAAAGAAGAAAATAAATGCTACAGTTTTATTGCGGACTACGCCAGTTTTAAACGTCTCAACTATACCCTTCTTGATCTCAGATTTACTACACTGTTAAGCATTTTAATCATTTTTAATTTAAAACTTCATCTCTATTTATTCATTCAACGCTGTTTAATGTCAGCATATAGGTTGCTTGGTATTCCATCGGAGTTATACCAACGTTTAATGGTTTTAGTTGGAAAATAATTAATATCGTGATACGTAACACAACTTACTATTTTCCAATTATTTTGTGTTATGTAAGAAATAATTAATTAAATGTAGGATATAAACTATGATGAGAAAAATTTCACCGAATTCATTAATCCCTAAAAGTCACTATCGTAGTCTGAATATGGGAAAGAGTCCCATGTAACCTGACCTTAACCTAACCAAATTACTGTTTGAGCAATATTTTCATTTCTTTGTGAAACATTAGCTGAGGTGAGGGTCAGGCTTTTGGCTTTTAGTACTGTGATTTTGATTATGTATTATACTTTATTATTTCTGGAAGATGTAAAAATTGTTCCCCAAATAATTCTGTATGCGTAAATACGTGGAAGGTAATTAAGTTGAAAGCTGAAAAATAATTAATTTCCTGCTATTAAACACGAAATTAATAGTTTTTAAGTTTTTCTAACGAAAAATCGGTTGTCTGTAAAGTCCGTTTACTGACGATAGTTGAACGTGACAACTTCATAAGAAAATACTGATGGAATGGTTTCATTTTTCAAAAGAAAATTTTAATTTTATTTTTATTTTCAATGGTTTAATCACAAAGTAATTTTTATTATTGCACAAACTATTTCTAGTGCGGTCCTGTTAATTTATAATCTACAAAAGTCTCTTATAAATAAAGGAGAAGAGTGTTTACCTGATATCTTTCACAAAGTGATACTTGTGCGGGCAGACGTTTGAAAACTTAGTTTTCGAGTTTTTCTTTTGTTTTAATTGTCAGGTGACATAAGTAGTGCTACTTTTCTTTTTATTTACCTTTAATTGTTCAAAAAAGAAGCAACGATAAAATATTTAAACAGTTATCTGATAGTTAGTTGGTTTACCGGAAAGTTTTAAGAAATGAAGTTCTGTTTAATTTTCACTTTGGTAACATTTCCTCATTTATTATTTGCGCACGTGCAAGAACCCATTGCAGTAACTCCAAAAGGAAGAATTTTGGGGACTACATTCACATCAAGATTAGGGAAGACTATATTTGGCTTCAGGGGAATAAGATATGCGAAGGCCCCAATTAATGAGTTACGTTTTCAGGTAAGTTTTCCTACTCTATGAATAAATTTTACTTGTAATATTTACATTTTCATTAATTTCAAATTCTTAATTATTAATACTTACTAGGTATATAAATCAACTTAAAATGAAATGAAACTAGTTTCTCATATTATTAATTTTTAGTAATTTATCTTAAGATATAAATATCATGTCACTATGTTCGTATACGCTAATCTCGGAAACCACTCAACTACTATAATTTCAACGAAATTATGTGAATGTATATGGTAGGTTTCAGCTTGGAAGGTAGGATAATTTTGGACCCAATAGGTGGTCTTATTGTCGAAATCTATTTTTTTTTGTATTTTTTTCAACGAAATATTTTTTTTAATTGTTTTCTTGAAATGAAACGAAAGTGATATCTCTTGCTATTCGTCTTCATTGATTTACAACATACTAGGTTTTACCTGCGGTTTCGCTCATAAAACTAATTTTTTCTATCTTTCGTTCTTTTTTTTTCTGGATTAAAAAGTACCTTATGTCTTTTTGTGTACCCCTGACAACATGTGTACAAAATTTCATGATATTACGTTTTACCCGAGATTTCGCTTGCTTTGATGTCCTAAATACGTGTCAAAGATAATCGATGACCACATAAAACTAATTTTTTTCTATCCCTCGAAACCTATATCTTTTTTATGGATAAAGGGTNAAATTATAACACCTGAACATCTTAAGAATGTAATAATAAGATTATTTTTTCTAGGTGTTTGGTTATCATCCGATTTTGATTTGGGAACCGGTAATGTTTCAGCTTGGAAGGTAGGATAATTTTGGACCCAATAGGTGGTCTTATTGTCGAAATCTATTTTTTTTTGTATTTTTTTCAACGAAATATTTTTTTTAATTGTTTTCTTGAAATGAAACGAAAGTGATATCTCTTGCTATTCGTCTTCATTGATTTACAACATACTAGGTTTTACCTGCGGTTTCGCTCATAAAACTAATTTTTTCTATCTTTCGTTCTTTTTTTTTCTGGATTAAAAAGTACCTTATGTCTTTTTGTGTACCCCTGACAACATGTGTACAAAATTTCATGATATTACGTTTTACCCGAGATTTCGCTTGCTTTGATGTCCTAAATACGTGTCAAAGATAATCGATGACCACATAAAACTAATTTTTTTCTATCCCTCGAAACCTATATCTTTTTTATGGATAAAGGGTACCCTATATTCCTGTTTATACCCTTCATAATGTGTATACAAAATTTATTGATGATTAGTTGAGTAATTAAGACGTGAAAGCGTAACAAACTCACATTCACATTTATAATATTGGTTAGGATAAAAAGGTTTATCTGGTTTGATGCCGATCAAATTTTATTTATTCGATTAAATTCTCTTAAATGTTTAAAAATTAAAAAATATGAAAAATTATTTTTACTTGGCATATTTTCTTGATTATTTTTACTGATGATAAGAATGGTGGATTCCTTCCAATTAGCAGCTTCAAATACTCCAAATAAAAAATTCTCTTCAATTATGTTTTTTTTTTGTATTTATATTTATTTCCTTGCTTTTTTGTTAAGTAGATATTTAGTCGAAATGACCGTAAACAGTTACATTCGTCTGTAATTGATTAGATGAGTGTTTATTTATTTTATTTACTCTTATCGGCATGTTTAAAATGATGTGTTTATGTAAACAAAGAAGGTACACAAATTTTATTATCAATTTTTTACCCTACCAGAACAGGTAATATACATACATTGCAGAAATTATTCGAACTTTCAGTATTCCTTATTTGCTTAAATTTTTATTAACAACCCTATCAGTTTATACCAGCTTTTGTTTCGAAATGGTGATTTTCAATTAAGAATCTCAGATTAAACGACAGCACCCTGGATAAAGAAATTTGACCTTGATCACAGTTCCATCGTTTATATGCTATTATAGTAAGGTAATTTGAAAATTTTGAACCGTAAGAATTATTATTATTGTAGAATATTATTATTATATGGTCCCTATGTAATTATTAGNTTATTTCTGCTGGTATTTTATTTTTACAAATTCGGGTCCAAATTGTAATTTTTATTATTTTCGCTTACGAAGCAACGGGCTAGTGGGATAAACTGTTAATATCGCTTTAATATTTAGGTGAATTTTCCGTTTTCCTTTTCTCTATGTTGCATCTTTTTTGTATGTGTATGTTAGTGATAGTTAGTAGTATGAATTTTTGGTATCGACACTTAATTCTAAATATTCATATTAATGCACACATTCTGAGAGACATTTAAGGATATACTGTACCTAATTCTTCTTCACTTATCTTTGGAAGACCGAGACATCGCTGGTAGACAACTAGGTGTACATCTAAAATAACTAATGTTGACTTTTCTAACATCTCAATTTGGAGATTAATTTGTAATTGATTTTGTTTTAAGCCACCACAACCACCTGATGAATGGAGTGGTACCCTTAATGCAACTACCGATGCTCCTACATGTCCTCAAGAAGTAATTGGACCCACTAGTGAAGATTGCCTCTTTCTAAATGTTTACACAACAAAGGTAGAAATGCTACTCTTTGCATTTGTTTTTATTTATATATAAATGAAGTCACAAAATTTTTTAAAAAACAAAAGCGACCGTATTGTACCTACTAATGTCCTAAAGATTGGCGTAATAAGTTGAATGATTTTCTCAAAATATTTTTGAACCGGTATTTTATTTGTTAAAATACAAAGGGCGTTCAAATTTAAACGGGACTGTCGTTGTGTAAGGGGTAAATTATAATAGGTCTGAGATTTTTATGGTTGCTGAGGGCAAGAGCTAGGAAGAGATTTAAGTTTTAGAGTCCGTCAAACTCATGTTTTCGTTAGAAGCCCCAAGCAAAAGGAATGTTTCTTTGTGTTGACTACAATGCAGCGGATCACAGTTTTATGATTAGACAAGACGTAAAACTGTTCGACATTTTACTATTCAAGAAGGAAAATAATTTTTTGAATTCGATTGAGATAGCAGATGGTGCTGTACTTAATTTAACTCATTTATGGAATGAAAAAAATATAGAGAAGCGGCTCCAACGAGAACCCAGACGCAGGGGTATTTCTGACTGTTTTTTTTTTGAGAGACAATCAAAGCCACTTACTATTTCAAATTTCTGTACAAAGTAATGGCCGATTATCTAAACAAATGACGAATACATTCAGACCTGAAGGTTCTAAATTAATATTCGACCGGACGCACTTGATATTAATTAGTTAGTCCTGGAGCATCCGCCCTACAGTAAAGAACTCTCCCGTTATGATTTCTGCGTGTTTGGACGACAGGAATCACCAATTTACGGTCAGCACTGAGGTTGAGCAGTAGGTATATGTTCAAATTATTTCGGGCACGTCCTCGAAGCATCCAAAAACTTCCAATTCTTTGAGAAAAAGTAATATGGGTAGTAGTAGTATGTTAGGAAGGGAGTCAGAAAAGGATGCACTCTGTCACCGCTGCTTTTTAATCTATACATCGAAGACGCCATCAACATCATTAAAGACAGTACAACTGCAGGGATAGATTTACAGAGGCAAAAGATTAGTATGCTTAGATTTGCAGATGATATAGCATCATTAACATCTAGCAACGAGGAGTTAGATAGCTTTAAATAAAATGGAAGCGGTATTGACAAAACAGTATTGTATGAAAATAAACAAAAGTAAAACAAAAGTATTGATATAGAAGGGAAGATAAAGTAGGAAAGAGGAAGGAAGAAGTGGTCGATTTTAGGTATCTAGGAAGACAAATAAGTCAGAACGGAAGGAGTAGTAGGGATACAACGTAGGGGATAGCGCAGGGTGTGTTTAGAGAGCGGCGTTGTACGGGTGTGAAACATGGACGGTGGGCGCGGCAGAAAAGAATAGGTTAGAAGCGTTCGAAAAGTGGTGTTACCGGGGGATACTGTGGATAGAGAAGGTTAGAAATGAAGAGGTATTAGAAAGAATAGGAGAACAGAGGACTGTATGGAAGTCAATAAGAAATAGGTGAGGTAGGTTGGTAGCACACCTTCTCAGGTATAAAGGTCTAGTAGAGACATATCAGAGGCAGAAACAGGAGTTAGAAGGAGAAGAAGCAGACCTAAAATAAATTACTGTTCGCAAATAATTAAGGATGTGGGATGTTCTAGGTTTAGGAAAATACGAAGATTAACTCAGGATAGGAAGGGGTGAAGGTACGTGACTAACCAATCTTAGGACTGACGACCTTATGATGATGAGGTAGTAGTAGAAAAGGCAATTTTAGGTAGGAATAAATTGTGATAAATTATGCACGCCCTCGTATGTGTAAGGTGGAAATAATTATTTCTTAAAGGCTATGCTGGTACTCTCTTTTTTATTTTAACATAGCAATTACTTTATTTTTATGTAAAATAGCTTCCAACAAGGAGATGGAATCCTAGGCGTCCCGTAATTGTTCATTTTCATGCCGGTGCATTTGTTGGGGTAACTGGAAGGAGCAATTGGGCAGGACCGGAATATTTACTTGATGAAAATGTGGTCCTTGTAACTCTTAATTACCGTCTGGGAGTATTAGGTAAATTTGAAAATCATTTTTTGATCTTTTAGGTATAGATGCACAGGATATAGCTTCTACTTTTAGACGTCCTGTGATGTTTTTTATTAAAGAGAAACAGGTTCTTGGAACGTGATCGAAATCTAGTGCCTTTAAAAATTTAAAAGAAAAACGTAGCATGTAGATACTTCTGAAGCATATCTGAGACATAAAATAGATTAATGATTGACTGTTAAGTTTCAAATTAAATTATATCTAAAACATTACAACTACTGTTTCTCTAGACTCTCAGTAGCTTTACACAAAATCCATAACTGACTGGCTTTGTGTTACAAAGTTTTAAAAAGGAGGTAAACGGAAATATTTAGAGGTTTGAACTAAAAAGTTCTCCCCACTGTCTCTCCTCAAAACTGGTAAATCTGCTGTGTAGCGAGACAATTATTGTAATGTTTTAGTAATCACATTTGTTTGAAATTTAATAGACAAATGTGGCAACAAAAACATGTCAGAACGTATGCATACAAGTAAGACTAACAGAAAATAAACACTATTATTGATAAATAATTAAAGGAAAAAATTTATTTGTAATCCTACATTAGATTTGTTATATAATAATTTCTTCAGGAGAATACATATGTAAGTATGTCAGAAAAATCCCTTAAACAACATACTTCAGGGACAACGTAATAGGGATAGTGCCATCACTACTTTTTCTCTAAAAATTTTATTTTATAATTTTTGTATGAATCTCAAAGTAAAATGTGGTGGGATACTCAAACTGACAACCATGACAAGCCATAAGGGCTCTGTTTTTGAAATTTATAGCTAGGGAACCATAAAATAAAGAAATTGTTGTCGATAAAATAATAGAAAATATAATATGGATAAGGAAAAAGTCCTTTCTGCGTTGTCTATAATATTATTCATTTTGTTATTTTAGGCTTTATCAGTACAGGAGATAAGGAGGCACCAGGAAACTTGGGTTTGAAAGATCAAGTGCAGGCACTGAGATGGGTAAAGGAAAATATTCGTCACTTTGGAGGAAACCCAAATTTGGTAACGATTTATGGCTACAGTGCTGGATCTGCTAGCGTCATGATGCATATGGTTTCTCCTATGTCGAAAGGTAGATGCTATGTTCAAATAGAATTAATAATTAAATTTCTTAACTTTAAGTTTAAGTTTTAACAATTAAAGGCGATGTTTATACTAGAAATAAGATGAAACTTAGGTTCAGGACAATATTGTTTCTATTGGGATGATCATTGTCAAAAGTAACAGTATACGCCTATCGAAACAATATTGTTGGGAACAATAAAAACTTTTCACGGTGTATAAGCTCGTAACTTTATCAGCTTTCCTTAATTTCAATAAGTTTTTCTTAGCCTTGTTGCTAGATACAGTTATTAACAAGAATTGATTGGTATGTCTATTAAATACTAGAATTCAGCATAATTGTTTGATAAATAATGTGATAAAGTTTCTACTTTTGTACATAGTTCTACGGTACTATTTCAATGATAACATATTTACTTAGGGCCTCCCTACCATAGCAATCATCCTTTGTAATGATTGTCTAGTTTGTTTTTGCTGATCTTATTTTCCAAATACTTTCTTAATACAGTACCATCGACTTTATTCTTCTATGTCATCTTTTATTAAGAGAACTTCTTGTTATGATACTGATTTCGTTTGCCCATGTATTTCTTGATCTTCTTCTCTTTTTCTTTTTTATTATTTCAGTTTGGCCTTATCTTTTTAATCTAATCATATAGCCAAAAGACCTCAACCGGTTCTGTCGTATAATGCTGGACAAATTTTTAGGTCATGAAGCATATCCATGTTTCTTATTCTGTCTAATCAAGTGACACTTTGTACTCTCCTGGTACATTCTATTTCCATTGCTTGCATTTAAATTTTTTGGCTTGTTCATGCTTCATATTTTTAAACCGAACCTGAGTATAGGTCTAGGTTTATATATACTAGATACAATAATATGAATACGTCTATCCATTTCCTCTTGGAGTTGCAGTTGCTATTGTTATTTGATTAATTTCTCCTTGCATTCCTAAGTATTTAAATTCTCTGACATGTTTTAGGATTATTTCTAATGTAAATTATTTCTAATGCAAACGGACAGTTAATTCTTATTTTAGATATTTTAATTTTGAATAAAATTTTCATTCAACAAAATCCTTTGTCGACATTGCTTTGAAAACTACACCACACTGTATTCTCAGAAAAGAAAGCTTTTGATTTCTAATAATTATTCACGATTAAAATCAAAAAACGATAATAATTTCTAATTACCATAAAGATGTAGTGTCATTGTTAAATAATAGGACGTTTCATTTCTTCTTTAATTGTAACGCAAACATCGATTCCTACCCCCTCCCCCGTTTAAACTGAACCAAAAAAGTTAATTCTATATCTGGGTAGTACTGAAGTTTTTGTCTAAGAAATTTGTCGTGTTAGCAATTACATTGATCATCATAATAAGGTCGTCAGTCCTAAGACTGGTTAGACACGCACCTCCACTCCTTCCTATCCTGAGCTAATCCTCGTATTTCCCTAAAACTACAACATCCCACATCCTTAATATTTGTGGACAGTAATCCAATCTAGGTCTACCTCTACTCCTACTAACTCCTGTTTCTACCTCTAATTTATTTCTGACTAGACCTTCATGTCTGAAAAGGTGTCCTACCAACCTACAGTCTATTTCAATTTACTAGAATTGTGACCTTGAAGAATCTGCGCGAAGATAGAAAGAATACACACTAGGCGTGAGCAAGACAGAAATAGTTGGAACAAGCTTGAACGAGCAGAGCTCTCGATGGGCGGTCTTAGGAGATCGGCNCGCGTGGACAGCTGCTATACAATAATACATTTCCATTTACCTCCTTCTCTATATCCATACAAAATATCTATCAAACAAATAAAATTAAAATTTTCTTTTGAAAAATGAAACCATTCCATCAGTATTTTCTTATGAAGTTGTCACGTTCAACTATCGTTAGTAAACCGACTTTACAGACAACCGATTTTTTTTTTTACATTAAACAATTTATAGATATTCTTACAAACGAGACGTTGCTAAGTCAGCTTGATAACGAATTCAACAAATACGCTCCAGTTATGCTTGTCTATGAGCAAAATACTCAAAGGTCCCAAATAATAAGCGATGCACTTAGGAAATTTTATTTAGGGGACGGACCAATAAATAACTCATCATTTACGGGACTCGGACAGGTTGGTAAAACAATTTACACTTATCCAAATTAAGAAAAATATAGTAAAATAAAAACATATTTACAATAGTACTTGTTGAATATCTCCTAATTTTAGCTACTAAATGATGGTCTAACTGGATTTGGAATAAACAGAGCTGTAAAAGTATTTTCAGCAAAGAACAGCCAGCCAGTGTACTATTACGAATTTACTTATCAAGGACGTTACAGCCATGTCTATCTTCCTGGCACAAACAATACTGTGCCTTATGGTAAGTCTGTGGTTTATCATCAGATTCATTTAGGAGTGTTGTAGTTGCTAATGTGTATACCGTATCTTCGTATCAAAAAAGTTAAACGCTTTTGAGTGTTGCATTCCAACCAGCTACTAATGTTGGTGGGCAGGAGGCAGTTCCTGCGGAAGGCCCTGTTTAGTCTCCTTTAGGAATCGTAATAATGGGTGGGTAATTTTTAGGGTAAGGAAGATGAGATGGACGAAATGAAGACAGAAAAAGTGAAAGATTATATATGGAATATTATTGCTTCAACTTTTCTGTAGTTTCTTTGAATCACCTAGGCAAACCCCTAAGGTGTTCGGTTATCATCCGATTTTGATTTGGGAACCGGTAATTGAACCCGATTTTGGCCAGGAGAGATTTTTGACCGATTTACCTCTAAAACTTGCAGTAGAAGGTAACTTTGAAAATGTCCCATTTATGGCTGGGATTACTACTGAAGAATTTTCTTACGCAGCGGCAGGTATGTAAACCATACTAGCTCTGACGCATGTATTGTTAGTTCTTATTAAAAAACCATAGCCCACTTTTAATCATTGGCGATAATTAATTGAATGTAATGTGTCATTTAATGAAAGATATGACTGAAAATCAATGAGTTGTTTGGATTTGAAGTTTCTCATTGATTTTGTTACCCGCTGTACACGCAAAATTGCAAGATTAGGAACAAAATATGATTTGAATAAAAGTCACACTAACAGTTCTCAAAATATTTGGACCATCCCTCGTTAATTTAGATAAATTAGAATTGATTGGAATTATAGTTGAATCTCCTTATTGATAAATGTAGACGATAGTTGATGATTATGTAAACGAGTTTACCTCTTATAGGAAACATTTTACAGAAACATTGATAATTCAAAACCATTTGACATAAATGGAAAAATAATTGTTTCCATTTAGAATAATTCCATTAATATTTACTTGATTTTCAATGGGAACCAATGCAAAATTTATAAATTCTGTATAAAACATCCAGGCGCGTGCCTTGGTTCAGGTACCTGAAGAACCAAATTCTCAACAAAACAATATGGATTATGGAAAAAAGCATGCTGATGAAGTTCTAATGGAACGCAATGGGATCTCCATTGCTCAACGCAATGGAATTTCCATTTAGCATTAGGTTCGGGAATGGGAATCCCATTGGCAATTCTCCATTTATTACCATTAATTATTATCAGTGGCAATTAAATGGCATTTTTTTAATGGAAATTGAATGGAAATTTTTCCTACGGGCAGACATCAACTCCCCCTTCCCAGAGTCATATATTTCAAAACAGTCTTTTATCAGATCCTTTCCCTCTTACATAGCTTCATGATCCAGAATAGCCTCTCACCTGATCATTTCCCTCCCCCTTACAGAGTCATATGCTTTAATATAGATAGATAGATAGATAGCTTTATTAAAAACATTATGTTTTATATATACAAGGTGCAGTTACATTTACATTTACTTATTTTCTCTTTTCTACTTTCTCGTTTTTCTGCTATTTACCTCCTTATTCATATTTTTCTCATCTTATTTAGACCATCCTTTCTTTCCATTTTTATTAATTTTCTTCTCCTGCTATTTTTCTCTTCCACAAGATTTCTCTCATCCTTTTCATGTTGTTCACTCCTTCCAGTTGAGCTTTCCAGCTTTTTGCAGAACTTCCCGTTTCCCCACATCGCTCAAAAATATGTTCAAGCGTCTCTGGCTCCTTTTTACATAATCTGCATAATTTCTTTTCTTCTTCCTCCCAATACCTTGACGCTCTATTTTCGCTTCCCAATCTGAATCTTGCAGTTAATTGTAGGTGGTTTTTTCTCTTTACTCCTTCATCTTTCAAATAATGAGGTTTTTCTTCTCCTTCTTTCCATAATATCTTGTACTCTTGAGCGAATTTCATGTTTCTCATTTTCTCTCTCCTTCTTTGTTTGTCAATATCTTTAGTTAAGTTTTCTAGTTCCTTCCATACATTTCTCTCATTTTCCAGCTTCCATATATAATGTTTGATTGACCATCCTCTCTCCATTAAAAAATTCTTTCTTTCTTTTTTCCATCTTTCCCTTGTGGTTTTCTTTTCTTCCTTTTGCAAGAGCGCAATTTTGTCCTTAACTTTTACACATTCTTTTAGTATTGCGTTGCCTTCGGAATTTAATATTTTTTCTTCGTACTTTAAGGCCCTTTTTGAATATTTTATGGTCAGTTTTTCATATTT